TTGGCCAGACAGCTAAATATGGAGGCTTGTTCCTCAGGATAAAAGAAGTATTGAGTGTCAAAGGGCACAGCTTGAAGTTTCTGCCACAAAAGGAAGCAGACATTAATCACATCTTTTCATCTTGTGACTAATGCTATACGAAGTTCACAGGAGAAAAAGAAAAAAATCATCAAACTGGTTAAAGTCAGTTTATATGGATAGTTTCACTCCTCTAGTTATACATTGGCAAGGCAAATATTTTTTGAATACTTGAACTAAGAAGAAGGTTGAAAAATGTCTTAGTCTTAGACTTAATCAAGGCAATGACTGTATAGAAGGAACATGCACATCAGACTAGAAATTTTAAAGTGTTATCACAGTTAAAAGTACAAAGGAAATGCTTCCACAGGTCAGAATAAGAAAGGTCTTCGAGCTTTGAAGATGAACTGACTTTTGAACTTAATTTATTCTTTACAGTTTGAATGTGTGAAGATGGCAATTGTGTCATAGAATAGTAGAAAAAGCACACATGTAAACTATTTCATTTTTACTTCAGTCTTTGTTGGTAGAGATATATGAGGTCATTTAACCTTTCCCCTTCTCAACAGACTTGTGGAAAACTGCCAACTACATGGCTACATCAAAGGGGAATTATAAGACTCAATAGGTAAAATTACTGGGCAAACCACAAATCATTAAGCAAAGTATGGGTTTTTTTTTTTTCTCTTTTTATGCATTTCAGGCAGCAAATGCTCAGAAAATAGTTATTAAGTGATGACAGAGCAGGATTAAAAAGATACATTGTCAAGAGAGAGACACATACACACACACAAAGAATAGCAATTAATAAGGTTTGGCTGAAAAATAGCATGTATACACAAAGGAAAACTATAAGGAATAAGGTTGTTTGGAACCTTTGATATCATGCTGAAGAGTTTGAATTCAACTGTGGTAGGCCATAAACAACTACTGGAAGTAAAAAGGTAGTGAAGGACTAAAATAGGTGAGTGGGTGTGAAAAGGAGGGACAGGTGGGAAAGAAAATGTTTTAGAGTAGACACAACAGAACTCAGAAGAATTTGGTTAAAAAAGGGAAAGAGTCAAAAAATACTATTAAATGGAATTTTTGAGTGAAAAGTGACAAGGAAGATGAAAGTGTCATTAACAGAAATTGGTCATGTAGAAGAAAATAGGTTTGGCAAAAACTCTGTTTACCTTTCTAGCAAGAGTAATGCCCAGGTAGAAAGGGCGCTAGCAAGAAGTTGCAGAATTAGGCCTGGAGTTAGGATCAGAACTTTACATTTTCTTTGAGAGCATTTTCCATTAATAAATCCATGGTGAGTCTTAACCTGGTGACAGGAAGGTAACTCAAAACAGAATATTAGAGAATCAGTTAGGAGTGGGAAGTTGTAAAAAGAAGAGAAGTCAGGAAGGATCTGAGAAGAATCAGAAGGAGCAACTGTTCCTATTAATGTGACAAGCGAATTATTCACAATAAATTTAAAATACTGGGAATAATAAGAAATAATATCTTGCCCATTCAAATTTTGTATTTGACATTAAGGAGCTATAGTCATTCAATCCCTTTCTGGAAAGAAACCAGCTACCAAAACATTTGCTTGCCTGCTTGGGCTAATTGTCTTATTTTCAATACTCAGATTCCTTCCAGTTTTTCCCTATATTAAACAATAGGCATAATTAATACTTAACTGGCTCCAATGAAAGTAAGGTAACATGGAAGTACTCCTAATGAGAAACCACCATGCTGGTAAGACCCAACTGTTTATAGCACACCTTGAGCCAACAAGCTAGAAATTGTCTCTTGTTTGTGCTTACCATCCTCCACATGGGAAAATTGTCCTTTGATGCAGTGTCAAAGCTGCTGTCCACTTTATCTATCTATCATCATTGGTGACATGAGATTTTGAACTAGTGATGAGTCTGTGGTCTCCTCTTGAACACCTTGCTGTCCTTATTCAAACAGATCCTTTGCTTCTCCATGGTCAGGCTCATCGCCCTCTCTCTAGTACAAGGGCAGGAATGCAGACTTTATTCCTCAGAGATCTACCTATAACACAAATTAATATGGAAAAATAACTTAAAAGGTTGCAAAACTGCAAGAAATAGATGCTATAAAATGAGATTGCTTTAAACCTCTGGAAGAAACACTTTTAGTTGTCATAAATCTTAGAGCTCTACATAAATATAGATTTAGAAATCATTTACCATAATATCACATTAAAACTACAAGACTTCTTAAAGGATAAGGCAACATGGGCTCAAAACAGTTGTGGAACAAACTATACATGATTTGTAATCTGAGATTTCTGTGAGGGAGAAATAAACATATCAAGTAGTTAAATTTTGAGAAAGACGATTTAGTTATTAAAGTATGATTTTCTGGTATATACTTTTAATTTACAGAGCTCTAAATTCTATAAATATAAAAATTTGAAGGTCAGATAGTGCTTTGTTTGGTGTAAGATTGTGAGGGGGTCTATGGTGTATAGGTTATTATTCATCTATGGTCATCCCTTATTCTGTGACCATAATTAAAGCTGTTCTACATGCTAAGAGTCCAGGTAAAAAGTACAACTTTAGAACATTTGTGAATAAGCTGGAAAAACCCAAAACAATATAACTCAGGACCTTGCACTGCCATTTGGGCCACTCTCCCAGTCTTGGGTTGACCTTGGACCACAATTCTATTTCTGCCTCCTGAGTAATAAGTGGGATTACAGGTATTCACCACCATGATAAACTCTTCTGTGTATTTTTGAAAGTCTGTCCTGATTTTTATGATATCCTCTGAAAATGACAGAATTTGCAGGGAATCTGTGAAATCTATGTCATAGGAAGTTCAGATAATAGAAGTTACATGAACATCTAAGAAAAAATTAAAAATTCTTAGTAACTGTCAGTGGAAGCAATATGAATGGACTAGAGAAAAACAACACTGATTTGGGTAGGCAATATTTGAAAAGAGTTTTCAATTATCTCTAATTGACTGTAACCCTCTACAGGATATATAAAATGTTGAATCAGCTGCTTAATTCAGTGGGAAGTATCAAAAAGGAGAATTGGGAGATACAGATTTTAACTCAAATTCTGGTTTGGGGCAAATTATTTATCTTCTCTTGGCTTTATTTTCTTATTTATTCATTTATATTTACTTATACATTTGTTCAACAAACATCCAGTGATCTTGTATTATGCCATCCCAAGTTTCCTGTCCTATAGACTGTCACTAAAAAGTCCTTGTGGCTCTGACATGTATCAGTAAGTCATAGTAACTACTTAATGAGGGACTTCATGGAAAGGAGAACTGTGAGCTCCTATTGAAGGTAGTTGAAACAGTGTCAGTTTGAACTAGGAGCGCAGCACCACAACTCATGAAGCCAGCATGTACTTTGCCAAAAAGAGCCAGAAGTCTAGGACCCTGGGACCAAGTCTGAAGATGGAGCAGGAGCAAGAGCAGGGAAAGGTCCAACTTGGAGAAATTGGTTAATAAGAGGCCTCAACATGGAGGCCATAGACCTGTTAAAGAGAATGAATACAGAGCAGGCACAATACCCTCATCAGCCACAATTCCAGTTTCAGATGGGTCTAACCAGCTTGGTGAAATAACTACAGAGCCTTGGTAGAAAACAATCTTACTACCATAAAAAGGGACAAAACAAAGCTTATGGACCAGCTTCTCTAATTCACCTTCACAGCATTTCCAGGTTACAATAACATTTCAGACAGGTAATTGCTAAGCATCTTCCTCTATTCAGGGTTTTTTTTTTTTTAATGAATGACTAACATAACATTATTAATTTGATTGTTCAGTTCCAACATGTAAATTTAACCATATGTTCCTCACTGTAGCACATTTTCCCATAATTTTCTTGATTTTCCTCTCTTGTCTTGAGCACTCTCCACCTACCTACTCAGAGTGAAAAAACCAAACTGCATCTATAAGCGCCACAAAATAATCCCCATTATTTTAAGTTTGAAAATGCTGGAGAAATGTTAAGTGAAATCCACCATACTCCTCTTACACAACACATTTGACCTCCAGATAACGTTAAGCGCTTCATCCTCCAATGCTTTTAATTCTAATCCTTGCTGAGACGAAATTCATTACTTGAATTACAAGAGTGAGTCTCATTAAGGCTAAAAGCAGTGACCCAGATATCATAACGGATTAATATATGGTGACCTTGCAATTCTAGAGCTTTACTTTCAAATCTGAGTATGCAGTCAAATCTTTTTCAATAGTCAATTAATCAATTGGTTAATATCAGTCTGTAAGCACTCTGAGTCTGGAAGTTAGAAAACTATAAATAATTATTTTAGAACAATAGTTCACTTGTTAACTCCCAAAACGTTTCTTAAACTTAAAAAAATAGGATTTAATGAATGACTGTGATGATGTAATCACTAATTGTATAATTTGGACAGACAGGAAGCACCATAACATATAAATATATCATTGAATAATATATATATAACGTATATCTACATATCATTAGTACGGAAAGATTTTAATTATGCTGAATCAATCTTGAGTAATGAAATGTGAACTTGAACTTACTTTCAAATTCTATTCTATTCTTTTTTGGGGTGTGTGTGTGTGTGTGTGTGTGATGAGGCTAGAACCCAGGACGTGTATGTGTAGGCAGTGCACTATCACTAAGCACACCCCCCCATCTTTTGGTATTCTTTAAGGTGATAGAGATGTTAAAGATTATTATACCCCCAGAGAAATTAACGTATGTATTGCTCAGCAAAACATCATGCAATTTACAATTAGAAAAAATTGCCACAAACATGGTTCTGAAATTGTTTTTATTGTTTGCTTATTGTAGATGCAAGATATACGGAGCCCAGAAGGAGCTCAGTACAGCTCCCATCCACGATGGGAGCCATGAGGCCAAGGGTCAGCCTGCAGACACAGGCAGCAGGCTGGCATGATGCAGCACGGTCAACTGACCACCATCAACCAGTCTCAGCTGAGCGCTCAACTTGGTTTGAAACATGGGAGGAAGCAGTGTTCCTCACAACTCACCCTCTCCACCTGGGAGCAAGTCTGCAACTCCCTCACCGTCCAGTTCAGTGCATGAAGACGAAGCCGATGATACTCTAAGGTATAGAGGTTATTTTAGAACCATGTTTGTCAGACTTCCTTGCCCTGTGAGGGATACAATTTATATTCTCCAAAGGAGAACATTAGTAGCACACACACTTGGTTAATGAAGCACGAAGTTACAAACTGAATGGGTTAAACCACATAGTTGGCCATTTACACTTCTAAGTTTCTAGTATATCTTTGAAAACAGAAGTATTAAGATAAAACTCACTCAGTGTTGCTGGGCCTCACGCCTGTAATCTTACCTATTCAGAAGCAGAGATCAGGAGGATCATGGTTCGAAGCTAGCCCAGGGCAAATAGTTCCATGAGACCCTATCTCAAGGTAGAGGTGCAAGGTATAGGTCCTGAGTTCAAGCCCCAGTACCACAAAAAAAAAAAAAAAGAAAAGTCATTTGCACTACAAAATATATGATTGACAGTGAGTAAGCTGAATAGATCAACTTCCAAATCAAACCTAACTCACCACTCATTCAAAAACATCTCTTTCAATGTAAACATTTTATTTAAAAAGGCAATAGCTCTGGCAGGCGTACACACACTGTGTGAGTGTGTGTGGTGTGTGTGCAACTATAAAGTTATGACTAGATTGTAACCACAAGATCCCCTGGCACAACCATTTGATGTAGAGGGTGAGGAAAGGTAGGGCCAGGGTATGAGATGGCTCCCTTCCAAAAGCAGAGGCTGTGTTTGTTGCATACCCTTTGTTGACCCCATGACAATATGGTTGTCTTTTGTCACCTGTAGTGCCATTTTTTAAGTTATCTGGATGGGAAGATAGGTCTTAAGTGTCCTTATACTAGATAGTGCCTTAAAGTATCAGAGGCAACTTTTTAAAATGTCTGCACCAGAACCCCATGCACTTTTCCCCTGGGAAAACCAAAACAATCTTTTTATTCCCTTTTTTATCAGACAACGTTATCCTTCCAGATTTCATCTCAGAGGAGCTTCTTGTGCCTAACTGCTGTGAAAAACACTATTAAAAATGAGTACTATATATCTTCTCTCCTTTTTTTTCTTAAAAATCTTACTAATAGTCACTTGTGTGAGCCACTCTGTTTCTTTTCACCCTTTTGAGAATTTGTTTTGGAGGAATTAAACTGTCAACAAGCTGTCAAAGGCAACATATGGATTCTGATCTGCATGGTTAATTTCCAGTAGATACACTAATTTTTTTAAAGGTCTAGATGAATTGTGATTCATTGATTGATTATTAGCCTGATAGCAAAGATGAGCTGCAGCATTGACTATATTTCTGTATTTTGAGGCTCTAGCACTTGGGTCTTCAATCCTGGAGAGATTGCCCCTCACAGGGCTGGCTATTCCTAGAGTTACAAAGTCATTTCCTGAGAGCCCCACTTTGATACACAAGAAAACCTACCCAGAATCTAAGCATCTTCTTATCAAACTCTCATGCACTAAGTCAGTATCTCTGTTCCCTTGCCTTCCTCACTCAGGGCAGGTACCAAGAACTAGAGATGTCCTATAGTCCAGAGTCTGCTGAAATACTCAAGCTATGCGATCCTAAGATTTCTCAGCACACCTGCCCTGCTCACCCATTCCTTCCCACAAAACTGCAACAAGATGCTCTGGGTCATGCTCTTCTTCTCCTCTTTCTACTCCTGATTGACCTGGGTGCGTCTTGTGTAGCTGTCTAGCATACCTCGCCTCCTTGTTCTTGAGATTCACAGGTATAAACTTCTTTTCTTCATTTCCCTGTTTGCTGTCTTCTAATAAATGCTGGTGCAATCCCAGAACACTAGTACAACCAAACATTGCCCGTGTCAGTTCCTCCACCTATGGTCTCTCTATTGTCATTGAGACAGTAGTCACCAATAAAATGAAAGATAAGAGGAGACTAGTTGATATTACATAAATAATGTATTGGATTAATGAAACCCTGGACTTCGGCTGACCATTTAGAGGGCAAAATAATTTTTCCTCAGAAAAATAAGGATTTCATTTGCCAGAGTGTTTTTTGGGAATCTGCCTGCCAGAAGTGCAGTTGAATTAAATTAAATGGAACTTTAAAAAAAAGAAAAACAGAACATTCTGATGGCAGCTAACAGCAGAGAGTGCCAGAAACTAAATGCAAATACAAGAATTCATTTGTGGGCAATGAAATAAACATTGGATTATGCATGGATGATTCTGGTCAATTTCTAAACAGAAGTGATATATTGCTGTAAAAAATAATGTTCTGCACATAGTAAAGTCAATTTGTGCATCTGGATTGTATCTTTATCAGTATTCATTACTGACATTCAGGAAATTAAATGCAAAATTAGTAGCCTCTTCTGATGGTACATTTTATATGGAATTATTCTTAATTACAATAGTATTTTCCACCCTCTTCAATTTGTATGAATGAGCAGAAACCTGAAATTTATACAGTCTACATTTACACATTCTGCCACTAGGTGTTAACCCCTTCAGTCCAAATTTCATAATTTTGCTAAGACACAGGTTTGTATAAAGTTTCCAACCTAGTGTGAAATTTTGCCAGTGGTTCCTATCCAATCACTCAAAATCCACACCTCAAAATAATTCAAAATAATACATAGTTTTCTAATAGTGATTATATAAGTATTGTATCACAGAATTCATATCCTATAAAGGTAGATTCATGAATTATTGATTTGTGCAGGTGTAGGGATGGATTTCTCAATAATGCACCAGTTAAAATGGCTTTTTGTTCTCTATAAATTCACAATCTGTTTAGTGTAAGTGCCTCTTTACCTCAAGAAAATTAACCCTCCTTTCCAACTGTGCCACTATTCATCCCTTCTTCAATTCAAAATCTTTTACCTGTTTTCAACTTATATTTATTAAGTTTGCTAAAAAAATCCTTTGATGAAATGCTCAATCATTCTTTACATCAAGTTAAGGATTAGAAAGGAATTTTCCCTTTATATGTGAATAGGATTATGTGGAATGTTGTATTACAACAGCTCCAGTTAAATATGAACAGCAATTAAGTCAAAAAAGATCATTTAAATCACTTCTAACAGCAAACCAAAAGGAGATATTGAGTTCACAACCAGAAAAAGCAGCTTTTAAAGCTCCTCTCTTAACACTTTGTGCTCTCTTTAAGCAATTACATATTGATTCCAGTTTATCTAATTGAACAATTAAATAAAATAAGTCTGTTTTGACAGAGAGAAATATTGTAATAACCAGTAGAATTAATTATCACCTTATAAACACTACCATGGTTTTGATTGCTCTGAAGCTGTGTTGACAGCTTTAAGTCATAAATGAGACATACATAAAGCATCAAAGAAATATAAACTTAGGCAGCTTGTGGTTCTAAGCCTGTAATCCAGTACTTGTAATTTAACAGACTCTTTTAAGACACTTAAAGTATCTGGCATTACAAGTATAATTTTGGCACAGTTTTTCCTTTAAGAAAATTACAGCTAAGAATCACAGTATATATTTTTTCATCCTTTGGGTTTTTCTGTTAAAAGTATCTTATGTTTTATGTGTCTCTTATAAATGGCATACAGTCAGTTGAACTTTTAAATGGAACATTTACAGTATTTACACTAACAAAATATTAAAATATCTGGCTTAAGCTTTCCAAACCTGATGCTCTCTATTGCCTCAAATGTCCTATGTTACTTTTCTTTCTTATCTTCTTTAAAATTGTTATTTTTCTCATCCCATTTTTTCATTTTAACATTGGAAATTTTATATTCTATTCTCTTCTTTTAGTATCTGCCTCTGGAATACAACCATAGATAAGGTTAAATTGATGGATATTTTTACTCTCTTTCTTGGATGACTTTCTTAACCCAAACACCTTCTTTCCAATTTATTGGGATTCTTTGGTTGCTGTTCATTTTAATTATAAATTTGGTTGAATTATATAATTTAATGAACATCACAAAACATTTTTCAAATTATTTTCTGCAGCCCATTTCCTCTGCATTTATTTATATACAAACTTTCTTTATAGCTCTAAATTGTTTTTTTGGTAGGGTCGTTGGGAACATACTTTTGCTGGGTATAGAAGTCTAGATTGATGGTTATTCTCTTTCAGCATTTTTGAAGATGTCATATTATTCCATTGAATCCTGGTTTCCATTGGGGCCTTTGAGAATCCACAGTCTTTCCTGCCTTTCCTTGCATGTAATCTGCTTTTACTGTCTGACTTGTTTTCAGATTCTCTCAGGCCTTTGGTGTCCTGCAGCTTCATTGTGACACATGTAGGCTTCTTCACACTTATCCTCAATTTAATTTTCTCTGTCTTTCATCATTTCTGGGAAATTTTCAATCACTACTTTTTCTCAGTTACTGTGTCTTTTCATTCTGTAATTCTCAGAGGACTGATGTTAGACTTTCTCATCTTATCATCCACAACCCTTTTGTTTTCACATTTCCGACTTCCTTATCTGCTAAATTACATTCTAATCAATTTATTTATATTGAGCACCCAGTTCAAAATTATCTTTTCAGCTATATCTAATCTAAAATTCAAAATGATCTACTGTGGTTTTAATTGCAAACATGTTTCTAGTTTGATTTTTGTCTTATCTCAAATCCATTTGGGTGTTTTCTTAGTTTAATCTCTATTATTCATGTAAGCATGTTAAACATACTTGTTTTATACCTTCTTTTGGCTAATTCCAATACCTGAAATCTTTTGTAGTCTGATTCTTTGGTTTTAATAACTGTTTCTTTTTTTTTCTCTTGGAATGAAAAGTAAAATTTTATAAGAATAATTTTAAACCTCATTTAAAAGTAGATTTGTGTTTGCTTCTGCCAGATATCTTGGGCTGTTACAGTCTAGGACCACACCAGATGTGAAGTTTTCAGATCAGCCATGTAGTGCTACAAATTCTTGTAAATGCTGGTTTCTGATTGTGAATTATCACAAGAGATTTTTTTCCCCTTCTTAGTATCAAGGTTCTAGAGCAATCATCCTGAGCTCCATAGAGGCACTCACAAAGAAAATTATTTCACTTCACCCCTGTACTAAGAGTCTGATTCTTTT